CAAACTAAAAAGCTGCAGTACAGTTACAGTAGTAGTGCCAGCCAGCCAGCCAGCCAGTCAGTCCAGCCAGCCAGCCAGCCAGCCAGCCAGCCAGTCAGTCCAGTCAGTCCAGCCAGCCAGCCAGCCAGCCAGTCCAGTCCAGTCAGCCAGCCAGCCAGCCAGTCAGCCAGCCAGCCAGCCAGCCAGCCAGCCAGCCCAGCCCAGCCCAGCCAGCCAGCCAGCCAGCCCAGTCAGTCCAGCCAGCCAGTCCAGTCAGTCCAGTCAGCCAGTCCAGTCAGCCAGTCAGTCAGTCAGCCAGTCCAGTCAGTCCAGTCAGCCAGCCAGCCAGTCAGCCAGCCAGCCAGTCCAGCCAGTCCAGTCAGCCAGCCAGCCAGTCAGCCAGCCAGCCAGCCAGTCCAGCCAGTCCAGCCAGCCAGCCAGCCAGCCAGTCAGCCAGCCAGCCAGCCAGTCCAGCCAGTCCAGCCAGCCAGTCAGTCCAGCCAGTCCAGCCAGTCAAACGTAATTACAGAGCTTTGTAATTATTCTCAATGGCTCAGCCTAGATCATTTAGTCTGTCTAAAATCAGATCCTTTTCCCATAAAAGCAGTATTATTGATTTAGCAAGCAGCACTGACTGTTCGGCTTGGCTAAAAGCAGCAACACTGATCTATGTAGCTGCAGAGAAGCTAGGCTAGGCTAAATAGCGGCTAAGCTAAACAGAGCTAGTCAGAATACAGTACTTACAGCAATACTACATCCTGGTCATCACAGATAAACAGAGGACACCTGACAACCACCTCTCACCAGTCCAATCCCAGTCCCACCTCCTGCTCTGCTGCTCCTCCGTGAATCCAACGGCAGCGAGAGATTCCTACGGACGCACATCAGCAGCAGCCAGCTCCGCACTGTAGTACATGACGCCTCCTAACCAATAGGAGCAGAGAGAACAGCTCACACTGCCCCCTTCCTTCCTTTCTCTGGCTCGGACACAACTGGCTATCTATAGATTATATAGTATAGAAGCACAGGTGATGGAAACGAAATCCCGCAATCTGAGAAAAATAAAATCCACTTCAGCTACAACTCAATCCATCACTAATATGCTACATATGGGTGTGTGCTTTACATTCCAACATCTGTCGGTCTTTCAGTATCTCTCTCTCTTTTAGTCTCCCCCCCCCCAGTTCTCTCTCTCCACTGTACATGCTCCTGGGATGGAGGTGAATCCCCCTGGCCTGGCAGAGATCTCTCTGTGTGGGATCTGCAGACTACAGCATGCGTCTCTCTCTCTCTCTCTCTCTCTCGAACAGAACAGAACAGCCATCCGCACCGCAGTGAAAACTGCTGTATCGGACTTAACCCTCACCGCGCCAGAGGTGGGACTAGACAGTTCTCTCTCTCTCTCACACACACACACACACACACACACACACACACACACACACACACACACACACCACACACACACACACACACACACACACACACAGAGACAGACAGACAGACAGACAGACAGACAGACAGACAGACAGACAGACAGACAGACAGACAGACAGACAGACAGACAGACAGAACGAACAGGAACCTTCCTCTGCCTGCTGCTCCCACACTTCATTTAGGCCAGTAAATGACATTACAGTATGTTCTCCTGGGTGAACAGTGCTGCATAGGCATATGGCATATTATATTATGTCACACAAGAACATGCTGCAAAACATGGGTCATTTTAGCGCCATGGCTCATTCTGGCAGGAGTTGGCTATACATCACAAACCCATCTGAGACCAAGCTACTACCTACTACGCATTCTCCTCTAACACAGGTGAGCATTCTCCTCTAACACAGGTGAGCATTCTCCTCTGACACAGGTGAGCATTCTCCTCTAACACAGGTGAGCATTCTCCTCTGACACAGGTGAGCTTTCTCCTCTGACACAGGTGAGCATTCTCCTCTAACACAGGTGAGCATTCTCCTCTAACACAGGTGAGCTTTCTCCTCTAACACAGGTGAGCATTCTCCTCTAACACAGGTGAGCATTCTCCTCTAACACAGGTGAGCATTATCCTCTGACACAGGTGAGCATTCTCCTCTAACACAGGTGAGCATTCTCCTCTAACACAGGTGAGCATTCTCCTCTAACACAGGTGAGCATTCTCCTCTAACACAGGTGAGCATTCTCTAACACAGGTGAGCCAAATGACGATGGGTCTGAGTTACAGTTCAGACAAGGAAATCAGTCAATTGAAATAAATGAATTAGGCCCAAAACTATGGATTTCACATGAAAGGGAATACAGATATGCATCCGTTGGTCACAAGGTAGGGGCGTGGATCAGAAAGCCCTATGGGCCCCCGGTCAAAAGTAGTGCACTTAATAGGGAATGGGGTGCCATTTGGGTGGGAGGCAGCCTGAATGATCAGTCAGTGTAATGTAGCATGGCTAAGGCTGGCTGAATCTGCAGCATATTTCACAGGAATAACTTTCCACTGACTGTGACGTTAGCATGTTAGAGGGATGGCGTTAGTCTGTCCTCTGTCTCCCCTTTACTGTCATACAACCTGGCTAAGAAGAGATGCAAAGATATAGATACTGACTGTAGGCCTACATGAAACTAGGTGTCACAAAGTCACAGGTTTATTTTCCTGTGTTAAGACCCTCTATCGATTGAGGCCACCAGTTCCCTAACCGTTTTTGTGATCACTGCCCGGAATCTATTTCCAGTAGTCAGTGACAGCCAAGCCAGT